TTTTGTTACTCTAAGAAATTTAGTTGAAAATTTTACGTTAAACACTGTAAGATTTTCCCAAATTTTGATTATTTTGATTTTATACTTGTGTCATTAGAATGTTTGATTTGATACAAAACTCAGTTTTAGAATAGCTGTATTATTCCGCTACATAAAAAGAAAGTCCAGTCCTATACTTACAGGATTTTAGAAGTTCAAATTAGCGTAATATAGCCTCTAAGCCTTTTATCTCTCTCTTCCTAGATAATTAATCCCTGTCGTGTCAAGATTCTACAAGATATCGTCTTAGAACAGATTTTCGCAAAATATTTTTCTCATATAGTATCGACAATAATGCGGAAATGATTCAATAGTGATTGAAATGCTGAATGATAGGATTCAGTTGAACCCAAAGTTAATATGCAAGCTGCCTAAATTTAATATTCGAAACACTTAATTCTGAGCTTGCACCATCACAACTGCAGTTACATTATTCAAATTTCCAAGCAAATTTGCGCACTTAAAAAAAGTACAGCAGTCTTGTTTCATCGTTTATCTTTTTAGTCATTATTTTAATAATAGACAAATAAACACACAATCAATAAACAACACAAGAATAAATTTTATTGAACGAAATAACTATACATAATTCATCACAATTCATTATAAATTATTACAACAGTATGCAAACTTCTACATTTTAGTACTTTAAAAGATATTTAACTCGAGCAATGAAAATTCATTTACGTAAGTCTTGTAGTAACACTGGACAGAACTATTACTACGAAATAAAATTGTTATTATTCTACAAAAGAATTATACCTACATGCCACAGATATATTTTTAATAGACATTATTTTTTAAGTTTTTTAAGATGAACTGTTTACTTAAATGTATTGTTTGACAGCCTGCGCCGATCAACAAACGTGATAATTTCATAGCATTTACCTAAAATTCTGAAACAACTAGAATACATAAAAAGTCTCAATGTCAATGTTTCATATTTCCAAAAAATTCTGATTTTATGTTAAATCAGCTCACACTACAAAGCAGAGGTGACCAAAGGGCGGCCTGTGTGTCATATTTCCAGTATGAGAATCTACTCATTTCGGCTCACTATTTCTTTTATTTTATTACATTAATTTTATCTTTTGAACAATTATAATAGACAATTTCACAACTTAAAGATAGTTCGATATTGAACATTTCTTCAAAATATCTGTTACATTTAATAGCTTTCACAAACCGACAGGTTTCCGTTTCAATAAAAAAAGAATAAGAATATTATTTATAAACTGGTTGAAATCTAGAGCAACAGAGTAAAAAGACCCTGCCATCGGACCCTTCAGAGTTTCATTCGAGATATACAACAGATCTCTATATCTTGATGCTTTTCTGAATGGCAAGCGATTGTTGTTGATTTTTCACTAAGAGTTTCTCTTTTTTTAAAAATCATTATCAAAATTTCACTATTACGTCGAAGTATTAAAACAAAATATTATAACATCAGAAGCCGATGTGAACTTTATCGCTGCTAAGAAAGACATACATAATTTTTGTTTTTCTACTCTGTTTAAGGTCATGTTGCAGAGATAAACTAAACTTTGCTCATAATTGTCATACTTAAGAAAGGGAGAAAGGGAAAGAAGGAAAGGAAAAAAAACTTTAAAAAAATGCACTCTATATTGCTTAATCGAATCTTAATCAGAACTATAAAAATTTTAAAATCTGAATCGACGAATTCTTAATTTCAAAACACAGATTTAGTGCCACTTTCCAAGATTAAATGTTCTTAAATATTGGTTTCTTCAACGTTTGTTTTAATGCGAAAGAAGACTAACTGCATCCTCTTAACTGGTACGCTGTTTCTAACTTCGTAATTAAATTTACATTAAAACATTTACAACTATTTCAAAACTGCGATGTGTTTTCGTCCGATTTCGTAACTATACAGAACCAAATTCAGATGGAAAAAATAAAAAAATTGTTTATTTGACTAACCTAAATTACTGGAAATATGTTTCAGTAATGATGAATTTTCTGAGTATGCTAACTTCAAGGGCTAACTAATGTAACATGCATTAAAAATTAAAGAAGGGAAGTCTAAGCATTTCATGTCTGTAAAAGCTTTGAAGATTTTCATTATTTGCTTGCACTATTTATTTTTTCCTTGCGGTTAAAATCCAAATAAACGTGGATAAACATGATGCACACAGTCAAATACAGAAGTCCACTCGCCATCTCCAGAAGCACGATGAAATTTACAAACAGAATTTCAGTAAGTTTTTGGCAAAGCATTTTCCTGCAGATTGAAAATACTTCTAGCCGTCCGGGTGCCCTGTCCTGCTGTCACCCGTCACCTGTCACTTCCTCATCAGAAAACAAAGCTATTTACCAAACCTTTACAGACATCTTACAGTTGGAAAAACGCAAAATAACGTAACATTTTCACGAAATTGCACAATATGCATGCACGTGCATATTGCGCGAGCTAATTTATTCATCATTTGAATAGTTTACATGTTTTATTTAGATTATATCTAAGAAAATGAGACTTCAGTTGCTGTATGCAACAGAAAGGCATGGCACAATTTTGTGCCCAAAATAACTTCATTATCTATTCATCAACAGAAAGTTTTATCTAAATGAAAAACAATTTCTGATGCAATAAATTAATTTCCAGTTTTGCGCGATTTCAAAATAAGCAAGTTATTAAAACTGTATTTGATGTTACATTTAAAAATACGGTAATAATTCTCTATATAATTTTGTTTTCTGTAAGATCACATTATGCTGCAGGGATAAACTAAAATTTTCTTAGACTTGTCGTACTTAAAAAAAGAAGGAAGGAATAAAGAGAAAAACTAAAAGAGTACATGCTATATTGTTCAGCCGAATCTTAATCAAAATCTAAATCGACGCGCTGTTTCTGAAATTTAGCTTACAATCGAAACCAATTGAAAGCCAATAATACAATATTTCATCTACAAGTAAATGGTTTTGCTAGGAAAAAAAACTGAAAACAAAAAAGCTTTCTAATATTTAATTTAGGGCAGAGAGTGCAATAAATGTAAAGTAATTATATGCTTTTAATATTGTATTGTTAGTAAATGACTAGACAGAGCTGACAGAATTGAATAAAAAATTCCGAAAACACGAGCTTGTGTTATTATGATTTATTTCACGTTTTTCTTATATTCTACGCATCAAATTTCACTGAATTAGTAAAGCAAAACAAATACAGAATAGCTTCAGAAAGTGTACAAAATCAAGCAGTCTTTTTTTTAAAGTAAAAGTGTGGCATTAACTTACTAGCTCTATAAATTCAAACACGAAAATTAATAGGTTAGGTTATTTGAATATGGCAAATCAAAAAAGGGCTAGCTGACTAAGGAAAGAAATGCCTTCGTGGAGGACTTTCCGAAAGAAACTGACTCATATTCAACCAAAATTAAGTACTGTAAGCTATTGTATTGAAGTGCATAATAAATAGCATTTCAATTTACCCTTCATTTAGTCAAATGTTATTGAAATAAATTATCCTTATGCGATAAAATCGAATGTAACTTGAAATCTGAATAATCTGCTTAATATCTGCATGCATCTAATAGAATTTAATCTATTCCATGCAACATATATGATTTTCACGATGAGTAAAGAAATACATGCAGTTTTATTCGAAAGTATGATCTTGCATTTCAGTTAAATTTTCATGGGCATAATGCGCTGAAATACGCACTTTTTCAAATCTCCAATGCTTAGCTTCTCCAATTCAATGCACACGTTAGAATATTTAAAAAAGAAATAAACATTAAAAATATAAAGAAATCGAAAGTACAACTCATGAATTAATGCTAATACTTTCCTGGTATTTCCTTCTAATTTAAATGCCCACGATGATGATGAACCTTGACACAAAAAGGGATCACTAACCCTCAGCAATCGAACAACGCAGCATCGTTAAGTATAGAGTGGAAGCATTAATAATAATCAAACCTTGTGTCCTGTAACCTTCGAACTCTAGAGATGTTTTTCAGTGTCAATTAAAGCAAACGGAACTCTTTCTTGCCTGTGGGTATGTTTACAAAGAATGAACGACATCTCATTGCTACCATGAGGAAGTAAATTACAACCCGCATTTAATATAAGAATGCTTTCCCACCATTGCGCAATTGAAAGTTCATTGGAACATTGCATTGTTGAATGAAATAAGGTATGAACTATTTCGGAAGGTTTTTATTTATTTAAATTAATACAAAACGTGTTTTTCAGTAAACAATATTAAAAAAAGGTTCATTCAATTAATGTTTAGGTAAAACAATTTTAAGGAATAAGTACTGTCTTTTTCCGTTACTAGGACAATGCTAGAATTTATAAAATGATAGAACAGACAGAAAATTTCTTCCTAATTTTTTGCTCGGTAACAGAATTTAGCCATTTATGGTGACAATAGAAAAGTAAAATTCTCTTGAATGATCTGACTCATCACAAGTTCTTGTGATTCGATAAATAAAACTAAACAAGAGTATTTTAATTATTTATTTTTGTAATGAGCTTTGAGATGTCAAAATTTGTTTAAATTCTTGCAACGCCAAAGTTAAATAAAACTAAAACATCAGTATATAAATTAACTGCTTTGAGGATAAATTACTCTATGGTAAGAAAAAAATTCTAATAAATGTATAAGCAGATCTCACAGCATACACAATTAATTTTACAATTCCTAATCAATCTTACATATTATAAAAGTTTTGCATAATATTTTGTATGATAACTAAGAATTCAGGAGTTAACATATCGCGGTAAAAATTTATGTAAATATCAATGTCATTTAAAATATTTAGGAAGAAAATATAAAATATTTATTATACGGAAATTAAATTTCGCAGTTTGAATTCTCTGAAATCGCCCAATTGACTTTGAAATGTATCACGAGGATGTATTCTAGATTGCTAAAGAAACCATCTATAAACAAAGAAACGTAATTATTACCGAAAAATTCAGTTATAAAATAAACTTACATCTTAAGTTTGGCAACTCTGGAGAAAGCCCCCGATTCATGAAATCCAAACGAGATCTCATAACTGAAAATTTTGGGAATAAGCAACACAATGCGCCTATGAACGAACGTTAAAGACGAGCACATAATTGAAAGGAGACCGAAGGTTTTGTCAAGAGCACCGTTCCACACGCATGGAGTTTCGAGGCAGCTAAACAATTTTTCTTTTCGAACTCCCAACGCCAGCAGGCGGTTGCATCATCTACCTCGAGGAAAGAGAATATGATTTGGCAAAGTTTGGGCGTTAAGTCAACGAGCGAAAATAAAAAAGAAGATAAGTAAATAAACCTCATCCACGTAAAAAGGATGAAATAAAGTAAACGAAAAGCAATGAGGACGGCGAGAAAGTTGAAATGTCTGCTTCTATTTTTAGTTTCTCTTTACTCTAGTATACTGCTACGTTGCTCTCATTCACCGACCTAATCACGCTCGCCTGTCATGCAGTAACCACGTGAGAGGTCTTCCTCCGCGTTCAAAACAAGCAGACGATGACTCTGTTCTCTCAGTTATCCTTTTGTTCGTTCAGGAGGATAACTACCGACGGCAACGTCGTTTTCTTCTTTGTTCCCGATATAAAGATAGAGTTCTAGTTATGTGCTGTAGTTAGTGCTACAGACATTTAAACAATTAAAAACAAAAGTTTCCAATGAATAATTTGCCCCATCATTTTTCTTTCAACCACTTTTCCCGGATAAGTTATGATCGGCATTTTAAGAACCTTTTTTGTCTTCCGTTTGCTTAACTAGTAACCAATTTAAACTAGTTTTGCTGCTGTATATATAAAGTAGTAATGAAGGAAAGTGGGAAGGAAAAACGGGGGTTAGGGTACATTATTTCGTGTGCATTCTCCCGTTTCAGAACTTCAATATATTGTAACATCTTTTATTTATACGAAGTTTGAGCACTTTGAACGTGAGTTATTACTCTGTAAGACAAAAAAAAAAAAAAAAAAAAAAAAAAAAAAAAAAAAATCCCGATTACAATACTTCCTTTTTACTTCGTACAAGGAAGTAAAAAAATGAGGGAGAATCTGAAGGGAAGATAAATTTCTTCCATAGAACATTTTCCTCATAGATATTAATGAAAAAATATATGGTTAATATGTGTTCAATGCTTTTTCAAGGACTAAAGGTTTTCCTTCTATCTACCATTGTGATAAACACATCCAGTTAGAAAATCGAATGCCTCCAGTTCGATTCTTAACTAAAGTGCTTTTGAGTTTTCAAGATTCCTGCTCACAAAGAACTTAATAGCTCTACAGTTTCCATTATGGGAAATTAGAATGCAGATAAATATCACAAGATTCAGAAATTCTAAAACGTAAAATAATGAATCTTTTAAGAAGACAATACAAGCTACAAGTTTTATAACAGCTTCACAGTTAATTTTGATTTCATAATTCTTGAGTAATTAATGACGTTAGTTTTAATGCTTTACGACTGTGTGATAAAGCACACTTTTTAAGAGGCATTTTTTTTTTCAGCTCATTCTTCCATGTCTGTTTATCAAGTGCATTTATATTTATTTTCACTTAGAGTTAAAATTACAGGATAATAGCACACCACAAAAGTTAAAATTAAAAAAATAACTTCGATGTAAAACAAATTTTTGCTTCATACGAAACTGCCATTTCAGTACATTAATTAAAATGTCATAACAGTATAAAAGCAAGCAATGAGCACAAGAAGAGATTTCTCCAAAGATTAGTTGTTTTAAAAGCGTATGATTTTTATTTATCACATTAAAGAATAATGTATAACAAAGCATTCATATTTTAGTTCCATAAGCAAATGTATTTTTAAAAATTTAGAAATCACTTAAATTTCATTTAGTAATTTACTAACACAGACCTGAAGTAGTTATAATGAAAAATCTGTACACTTCTGTTATCAGAACCGGATACAGAAATGTATGTATGTACACATGTATGGATGAATGTGTTCATATATGCATGTACATGTAGGTACGCATGTGTGTGTGTATGTATACACACCCACATATACCACATGCATACGTACACACGTGCATACATACATTTTTGAATCCGGTCCCGATAACAGAAGAGTACCGAAAAATCATAGTTATGTAACCCATCTTAGGATATTTCTATTTACCAAGATTTTCATTATATATTATACAAATACACTGTTTCTCCACGGTATAATACACTAAAATATATAGGCTTCTATAGGTGACAAGGAAACCATCGGAAAGTAAAAATCGTAAATCTTACAAATTTAAGGGCTGCTGATTTATAGCAAGAGCTATCATTTGGATTATGATGTATTTATCTCGACAATTTTGGGGCATTTAATCTAATAAGTCTATGCCAAGGGTTCGGACATCAGGACAACAAACCATGTAATTAGCTATACATTAAGCATTTCACGAACTAAAATGTTCTGACAATGATTTCAGATCCAGCTCCTGTTAAACAGTGTAGTACAAAATACGTTCCATTTAAAATTATTATATTTTTTAAACTTTCAAACTCGGAATGATTAGTGATACATCAAACAAATGAGAAAATTTTAAATTTTGTCTCTTATTTTATAAAACCCCTGCATGATATATCATAGTTACGTTTGAAGTTATCGCTTAATCACTGCAGTGTGTTCATGTTTGTTGCTGACTACACTGCAGTAATAATAAACTGATTTCTGAGATTGCTTAGAGTTATGGAAAATATTAACACAAGCTCAGTATAATATTTGAGAAGAAAGGAATCAACGCTATATTTGCTAGTTTGGAAGCTTTAGAAAGGGGACTATTTTAATCACATATATAAATCTTAAAATTCGATATTTTGCTTGTTTTTTTACAATACAAAATAAAACAAATATTAATAATAGAATATTCTGTTCATGGAACGTTCTATTAATGGATGTAGACGTTAGCATATTCTTATTTATTACGATGTGTGTACTTTATTTTACTGTCAGGGATTGTTTTATTCATCGCGCTACATTTCATTCAAATGCTATACGATTTTTACATTTTTTTAAATTATAATTTAATAGTGTTTGCGGATCATAAGCGGAGTAGCTGTACGAGAATAAGACGTAAACCTTAAAATAATATCTCTAAAATTTCAAATTACTTTCGTAATTTCTTCCCCCCTGAGCAATATACTGCCAAATGCAAGATGTAGCCAAAATCGGTATTATCAAATAAAAATCTAAATTTTTTTTTTTTTGTTTTGATCAGAAGTTTTATTTTTTCATGTTTACTCCTACATTCTATATATTTTTCTTAGATAATTATGCAGGATTTTATTTTTATTTCATCGTGCTGCAAGTTCTTTATTTTGAACAACAAAAACAAATCATGTATCAAAGGGAAAGTACTTAAATTTAAAAAAAAGTCTTTCTGTGATGTAAAGAGATAAATGAAATTAGATAAAAATCTGATGAAAACAAGGAAATGGACGGCCGTTTCTTACAATGAGTGGTTTGCTATTATATCAGCATTTAAGTTCATTCAAATAAAAAAGAAAAATTTTTCAAGATGGAAAGTTAAGATGAACAAAAGATCTACTGGGAAAACAACACTAGACGACTCTCTTGATTTTTAAATGAAATCCTGAATATGTTACTTGCCCTATAAATACGTAATTTTAAAACACAGGAAAATTAATCAACGAATTAACAATTAAAATTTGTAATGGAATTTTAGTCTTATTGATCCTGAGGTATATTCTCTTCTCAGAGGTAAAATAAATATTGTTCTCAGCAAAATAGTAGCCACATGTTTTATTAACACTCTCAAATACAATGCGTATCATAGGTATCCTTTAGCATGCACGATTCTCGTTAGTCAATATACTAAATAAACGTAAATCCGCTCTTCATCAGGTATGTTTTGAGAAAAGTCAAAAATATTTTCTTTAATTTATTTCAGAAATTTAACATAAATTTACGCTTTCAAGATATCGTACATAATAAAAATTGAAATGCCTCCTTATACTTTTTCATTCCTGTTTAGTAACCAATATTTTGTTAATGTTTCCTTCCAAAGTTATGCAAGGGCAGCAATCAAGATTTTATAGAAATTACATAATCAGTTGAGTATTTTGCAAAATTTCATTTAGGCGTAAACGACATAATTACAAAATCTTTAACGCAATTGTTTTTAGAAAAAATATGGGTTTAGCTGGATATGGATTGACTTTACTCAGCTATGTATATGTTGCAGTGTATAAAAATAGAATGCAATATTTTACTCCAAAGTTTCTTTTTAGTCTTAAAATTAATCTTTTCTCTTTCTTAAAAAATGTTTAAATTGAAATTTAAACCAATTATTTAAATATATGGTTTAATGTTTCTCATTAATTCTGAGGAAAGTGCAAGGGAAATGTAAGAGGGTAGACACTGTTATTAAATCTAAAATCTATGGGATATTGCAACTTTGTAAGATATCTCAACAAATATACAAAGTTCACCCATAGATATCATGCTCACACTCAAGAATGCAAAGAATGCATAGTTCCATTTTCAGATGATGGAATACTTTATTTTGAGATCCAGTATAAATATACTTCTAATATACTTAATGTTTTTTTTTTCGATCCTTTATCAGTTCCCTCGAAAATGTAAATCATGTTTAATCAATCTCGTCAAAGAAGCACTTTTTGTAAAACAAAATACTTAAGCTTAGAACTGCACATAAAATACAACCTCAAAGGCATTTTTCGTCAATCTCCGCCAAGTTGCTCCTGAAAAGGTATATATTCATCAGCAACTGAAAGAAACTTTTATTTATCTCTTTATTTCTCAGTTTCAAAAGATTTATTCCTCAACTTACATAACCATAAGATTTCTTAACTATTAAACATGAATTTATTTCCAAGTGCCATTTCACTTTTCGAGGGTATAAAACTTACAAAAGAAGAACAACCAACAACAGTTATTGGCAAAAGAAGTAAAACGAAGTAAAGTTCAATCTCCTTAGATAATGTTTCATAATCTAAGGAAGGTTTTAAACATAATGACGTTCACAATAACATAAAAATGACGTTCATAACATATATAATAACGCTCATGTATCACAACAAATATGATAAATTCACATTGTTGTGACACATGTATCACTTAGATAAATATATATATTCAAATGATTTCATAAATGTGTATTTTGGGCGTATTTATGAAAATAACCCAAAATGCATTTAATTTTTTTTAATTTTATTCAGGTAGTTTGAATTTGTA